CGGTCCATCGGATGAGACCGTATAAACCGAGGCCCCGTGTCACAGCAGGTGTGGCGCGATAAAGATCCCTCCCTGCTCAAAGGCCGTAAGTGCTGTGCAAAGGCCTAAATTTGCAGCCCTTCACCGGCAATGGTGACGTCTCCATATCAGTGAAATATTCTGGAAAGGGACGTTAAACAGTATAAAATCAATCAATCAATCATTAGCGATTAAAAAGCTTTTATAGTGATCTGAGTTATAGAAAATATGTATAAACTAATTCCTATGGTGGCATATTTCTGCCATCTACATAATCTTTTGTCAACATAGCATATCATGTCGAGTCAAGATAACTATCTTGTCAATGATGAATACTTTAAGTTTTGTTGTCAACCACTGACTTTTATCTTGTATAATAAGGATAAGTTTTTTTATTTTTGCAATGGATATCTCGACAAAATAAAAGAGATAAATTATCTTGTAATGCGACTAAAAGTTATTTCATCGAGTCAAGATAGCTTGCAACATTTGATAGCTTATCTTGACTGGAGAAGATGTAAACGGTGTTTATCGACAAAGCAGAGAGTTGTCATCATTTAACGAGATAGTTATCTTGACTTGACATGATAATGTAATGTTGACCAGAATAAGAAGACAGAGGTGCTTATTTCCTCCCCCCTTTATTGAAGGTTGCACAATTTACGCCCCCCCCCCCCCCCCCCCCCCCCCGAAAAAAAAAATGGATAAAAAAGTATACATCTATCTATGAATAAAATCATTCACATTTATCATTTAGAAAAATAAATCCAATTAATATACATATATGAATGAAAATTATTCCAAATAGCCGCCCAGAGTTAAATTATATGTAGGTGCAGTATTATTACATAATTAAGTAAGGAAGAAAAATTGATGCATATAAGGACAGATGGTCCAAACCATTGTTTCTGAAGAGGAAAATTAAATTATGTAACAGTTTTGGAAAATTGAACAACTCTTTCAATTTTTTTCCTAAACTTGGAGAATGAAATACCATCCACATTTCACTCAAAGCTCACAACTTTTGAACATGGTATTATTGTTGAATCGATGTTTATTTACTCTCTTTTTCCTTCAAAAAATTTTCTGAAGGAACACGACGTGAATTGATAATACAGTTATTCAATTACCTATTGTATTTTCTTCCATAGAAAATGACAATTGGAAAATATTTTTGTTGCTTCAAAAAAATTACAATTAGGACAAATCACACTCAGTAAAGGTTTACAGATGGGAATAAATTTTAGAAAATAAAAGGTTGGTGTTTAATTTTTTTTAATCTGAAATCTGAAAAACAACATAGGCCGATTTTTACCGTTCTACGTTTCCTTATTTTTTTTAATTTGCAAAAGCAAATACAAAATGAAGAGCTTTGAATCTTATTTCATGGACTATTAAGTTTATCTGAAATTACACTTATGTACTCTACAATAGTAACAGTACGTGTAACCGACTCAGACAAGTTGATTTACCCCGAATTCAAGTGCTGCGAGCGCTATTATCTGATTTATTTAAGCTGTTATCTTGAACTTATAGAGGGAGTTGTACATGTACCTCCTACACAAGTGAATTACTACTTGTATAATGAGGAATCATGATCAATGCTGGTTCTGACAAGTATACAGAGACGACTTATTCAGAAGGCTCTAACAACCAGAAACTAGTCCGCGTCGGAACTATCCTTGACATGGTTAATTATTCATAGATTAATTAAGAACACATGATTAATTAGAACAGTTCCTGTTGACTGTTAGTACGCACCCATTCTTCACCGTCGCTCCAATTGGAAGGTACTTTCGAAACAAGTTTCAGTGCACTCCACTAGGCGTAACTTTATGAATCCTATTTAAAGCTTTGAAGAATTCAATTGAAGAAATGTCCTGTATTATTCTAAAATGCTTACGTTCTTTTCATTAAGTTATGTTTTACTAATAACAAGCCGTTTTTATATAAGAAAACATACAAGAATATTGTTTGCATAATTGTTTCATTTGAATTGATGAAAGGCTTTAAAAAATAAAGTTAAATGCATTCATAGATCTCAAAAACTTTGTTATCATGCCCGTCTTATTGCAAACACTTTACTTTCATTTTAAAAATGAATTTTTGAAATAGGTGTTTTTAGGCATAAAAATGTTACATTGTTCTTACATTCTATAAAAGTAACATACGCGACCCTAAATTAACATTTTAGTCCAATTCTTACTCTATATTTGAGTTATTACGTATTGTAATTGAGAATTTTAACTAGACTTAGTTATCTTCCATAATCCCTAGTATGGGTCAATAACAGTAATGCGATTCTTTTAAATTTTATATATTCTAATTCTGATCGATATTGCTTTTAGTATGTATTTAGTATTCGAAGTATAAATTTCTGTTTCGTTTGTTGATATTTTGAAGCCTGTTATATATATATTATTACTGCATACGTTACACTTATTTCTTTCATGATAGCCAAAATAATAAGAATATTGAATACAGACTGATAATAAAAATAATAAGTCAACCGATTTCATGACAGCGCTTAATATTACTTTAGGAACGATTTAAGAGTCTTCCACCTTTATCAATGAGTCTTTAAAACTGATTTCAAAGGACAGAATTCTATATTGCGTCCTTAAAAAAGAGCTGTAATTGAGAGCAGCTTACACTGAGTTTCAAATTATCGACCAAAATACGCTCTTCTTTTCAGGTAAAAAAAAAATTCCATTGCAATTTGAAATGCCATTTACAAGGATTTAAATAGGTGAAAATAATATAAGATTGAAAGTACTATAATATTTACTATGTTACAAAGCTTCAAACTGTGTGAAGTTCAGATGTTCAACAATTTAAGTAAAAACAAACGGTTTGTCATTATTAAGAGATGATTCCTCAACGTATTTCAATATAAATTATCATTTGTTTTTGAATATTAACTAATTTCTATATAAAATTTGACACTTCTGTTTTACATAAAACATGAATTGAGCAAGCAGACATATCATGTGCATTATTTTTTCTTGTTAAATGCGAGTTTTAAACTTAACTAAAAAGCTTACCAAAACTGATGAAAAGTACATTTGTAAATGTTTACGGTTTTTTTTAAAACTATATTTAAAATATGTTAAAGTATCAAAAATGAAATTAAGATACATCAGTTTTATTTGTTAAATAAGTGATTGTCATACAGGTTCATGAGACCTTTGTCGCAATTTTCTATGAATTGTTCTCAAAGATATAGGATATTTACTCCACTGTTATAATGAACAATTATGTTCTTGATATAAGTTCGCATCCGGTAAAAAATACTTGAAGTGTTTTGAAAATCGACAATGTTTGGTGTAAACTTGTAAGATACCAGTCCTATAGGGTATAGACCACCATTTTCTTTTTTTTTTCTATCTTCATTAATTTTTTTGTTTCTCTTAATAAAAAGGACAAGTAGCAGATTTATTAAAATTGAGTTCTATAATATTTCATAATTTTTTTCTTCATTAAAAAGACAGTCGGAGTTAGCTCTCTTGCAATGATCTTCAACATTTTCATAAGGAGAAGAATGATAAATCGATGTCTTGTTTATCGAATAGAAAAAAAAATTGTTTAGAGGGAGGGGTATATGATATCAATTAAAAGCACCTAGCAGTAAGCAGTTGGCTATCGTATATGCAATTACTTACCCCTAAGTTTTGATGTTCGACTTCAATGTATTACTCAAGGTTACTAATTTGTCACGGAAACTTGTTGCCAATGTTAATATATGACTTAAAAAAATAATTATAACGATGTGTTATTAGATTATAATTCAATGCTAGCTATCAGGTAATTGTTGAATTTAGAGAAAAATATATATGAAAAAAATTATTTTAAGAGATGTTGCAATTCTATAGAAATATATGCATATGTTCAACAAATAATTGATTATTGGAAGTACATGTATCAAAAGACTGTGACTGCAGCTTGAATAATTAAACGAAAAATATCTTTAAAAAACTAAGATATGTTGCATTTCGTTCAACAAATACTTGATTATTGGAAATATCAAAAGACTGTGACTGCTGCATAAATAATGAAACGTTAACATACGAATTATTGCAATAAATTTGTTCTTCGTCAAAATGAAAACAATTGACTACTAAACTTGCTCTTAAATGACATACTCGCTAAGAGATCAATTCAATAGGTAACTTTTACTTTCTACCTTGGTTTACCAATTTAAACTCCCAATCCATATTTTGTGTGTGGACTTTCCATATCAAAATCAAAGGGCCAAGCAGATTATCCTGTATAGAAATACTACTGGACATTTTCACAAAAGATTAATAATACAAAATAATTTATAATTTTACAATTTTTTAAAAAATCTAATAGATAGATTGAACTTTGAAAGAATCTTGATATGGCATGTAGGCATTATTGCATTTGATCTAAGCTTCGTTATGAACTAATCATAGCAATAATTATTGTCTAATTATTACGGATGGCAATTCCTAATCGGTTAATCAATTAATCGGTCGAACGATACTAATCAGTTAGAAAATCCGTAATCGGTTAGTCGGAAAAAAATGTAAAAATATATGTTTATTTGAACATATTTTTTTAAAATTCACTTTTTAGAAAAGAAACCACTGCTTAAAGTTCATTAAGGTTTTTACTTATTTTGTTCTTAAATAATTTCGAGGTATTTATAGCTCTCCTGATCGAGATCACGGGGTAATTGGTTACTTTGTAAAGTGTTAATTGCTGTTTTTAAAATATCATATTGTTAAACCCGACTGCCCTGCATGTGATTTTTTAATGATAGTAAAAACATAACTATTTTGCACTTTAAATTAGTATGTCTATATTTTGCCAATATCTATAAACTTATTTTATATTAGGAAAAAGCAGTGTAATGACATTGTTATGATTACAGTGACAATGCAGAATTAACTTTAAAAAATCCAAATAATTGATTATTCACAGGTTCATTTTTTCTTTGGAATTAGGTTCCATCCACAATGAACTGGTATCAGCATCGAAAAGCAGCTTTCCTATTAATAATTGGATTCTTATGCGTGGTCTTCATGAAGAATAGTTCCTTCTTTTGGGACAGAGATTTGGAACGTGATTTAAAATTTATACGAAACTTAATTGTAGGAAGAAATGCTTCATCAATTGGAAGCACTTTACAACAAACCAAACCGACTCCCAAGTCCGAAACAAGTGCACTTTTTACAAAAATCTGGAAGCATTTGCTGAAGCCTCATACATACAGTCCCTTTCCAGAACCAGTAGACAAACATTACTCCCAAGCTAGTCAAGATATAGCTGTGTATAACATATTTCCAAAGAAAAAAGGATTTTTCATCGAAATGGGAGCTTACGATGGTAAAGTCCATTCCAACACCCTGTGGTTGGAGAGAAAACACAATTGGACAGGATTGCTGATAGAAGGAAACCCAGTATCATGTCCGAACATAGACCGTGTAAAACGCAACTCCTGGCGTCTGTGCGCATGCGTTGCACATGAAAATGAAACAAGGTTTATAGAAGGGGATGAACTAGGAGGTTCTGAAAAGGACATGGCGGACATTCACATCATTCAGTTGAAAGGGTACAAAAGGACCAAAGTACCTTGTTTTCAGTTAATTAACATATTACAATTGATCGGTGTTTTCCACATTAATTACTTTACGTTAGATGTTGAAGACGGCGAAATGGCGGTGCTAATCAGCATGAGAGGGCAGTTAATTTCTAGACAAATAATCGTTGATGCATGGACCATTGAATATCAAGCTTGGGCAGTACCAAGATTTGATTGGGCTAAAGGAAAAGAAAATTTGGCAAATTATCGTGCCTTTTTCAAAGATATAGGAGGATATGTCGAACACTCACAATTGGCTTACGAGACACGTAGGCTAGAAGTTACTCACTATCTTGATGTTGTATTTGTTTATATAGAGACATGGTGTAAAGGTCAAGGTTCACTTCCAGACGGCAAAACAAAATGTTCATCATTGTCACATTAAAGCATATCATGCGCATTACAATACTGCCAGTATTTTTCTTCTCTTCCGGAAAGAAAAAAACACAAGACTTTTTCTATAAAATTTTGTAAAATTTCTCTGAGTCTGACATGTATAGGATCCTCTTGTATAACTGTCGATCACCTAAAGAATAAGATGACTATCATCTATTGCAATACAATCATCAATCTTCGGCTGACTCCATACAAACCTCGGACGTGATCGTTGGAGAAATATTATAAATCGTCAAAGCGATGCATTTCTCTACCGGAACTGCCTTTAAACTTTTTTCATAATGTTGCTCTGTATAAAGGACGGCACAGACGTTTCCTCTCTTGGATTTATTTGCATTTTGGTTGCTTAAAATCTATTAACCAAGGATGAAACATAGTGTTGGGCATGCCACAAAGTAACTCAAATTGAAAATTTGGATCACACAGTTGTATTAGGGAAATGGCTGAACACCGTCTGAGGTTGGTGTGTGAGTCACAAGCCGACGTAGAAGATTCAATTCCTTGTGATAAACATTAAGACCAGACATGATAGTGCAAAGGCATCGAAGTAGATAAACTTACAAGTTTTTAAAGAACTTTTACTTCTGACACAATTTTCTATCCACATAACACTTTGGAATATAATGTAATTATATCATTATAATGTCAATGGATGTATTTGATTTTATTGAAGAATAATTTCAATGGATGTATTTAATTTCATTGAAATATAGTTTCAATGGATCAATTTGATTTTTGTGAAATAAAATTATGTCTTGCCCAGTCTTCATTTTATTTAAGAGTTTTACATTTAACATTCCCCTTTAAACAGTGGAAAACCTACTCGTCATGAAGCATTCAAAAGATTAAGTAAAAAACAAACATGCTACTTGTTACAAATTCAGTCGTCAAAACAAACCACCCCTTACTAGGAACTGGATAAGATATACGGAACATATGTTAAAACTGGATCTTTCATTGCAACCAACTGTTCTTCAGTGGTGTTATAATGACCATGTAAACAAATACAGTCTATCATTAAGTCGAATGCTGACTGACTTTTTCAGTCTAATTGCTAGGTCATTGTTAACACAATGCATAGTATACGGATTTTTAAGGTGTGAGTGGTCATGAAAGAAAGGAGCATAGAGGTAAGGGTGTCCAGTCGGTAGGGGATGCTTGCTCCTCCATGGCATTTGATCCCACTTCTAATTTCCAATAATTCGTGATTGCGCTAATCTAATCTGATCTTTATTGTTTCAATTTTCTTTTTTTTTTTGCTTGGTTACTGTTTGTTATTTTTATATCTAATTGAATTCAAAACTAACAACAACCATACTTAGATGGTATTGATTAACCTAGTAAGTATTCATAGATTACAGTACGCATAATGTATCTTCTAAAGCACAAATTCTATATTTTAATCTAAAATATTAGCCAGCAAATCACAAAACAAAATTCCTCATATCAGATAATTGCTGTGTAATATCAATATCCAGGCTAGAAAGAATAATGATCTGAGTTAATCAATTAACAATTTGGATCGTGGGTTCAATTTACAGTGGTAATCAATGATTCTTCTCACTCATAGAAGTTGATCCTTTTTCCTTTTCAAAGACAATATTTTGGGTAATATTTCAGATTGATGTATTAAATTTCAAATATGACATTTAAAGAGAATTTATAAAAGAAAAAAAAACCCAGCTGAGTATCTAAACCCAGCGTAAAATAATATCAAAATGTTCATCAATACTCATCATCATCATTTTCACGATCATCATCAACTTCATCATCGTCTCGTAACCGTATTGTTTGGAATATTAACTTCTTACATTATTAAATTTATATTCAATTCATGTTTAAATCGCTCGCTACGTGACAAGTCTGTGTGATTCACACACCAATAACTCAAACAAAACTGAAAAACATTCCTTAAATAATATTAAAAATCTCGTAAATTTTGGCAAATTTTTTAATGCAGCAATAATGTTAAAAAAATAAAACTGATGTATAGAATTATTCCCATGTATGTGTTCTTTACGTTCACTCTCTCTGTATGTTTTTTTTTTTCATTTTGTCATTATCATGTTTGTTGTATAACTCTGATGGGCCAGTTGGCTTAAAGAAATAAAGAAACTAAAACTGAAACTGAATCATAGTAAATGTAATCATTATTAGACTGATATCATGAGACGAATTATACATACTGGGATTTCTTGAAATCTTGTGTTAATTGTAATACCAATTTCATGAAAGAAAACAAAATCAGAATAAAAATAATATAAATTCTGGATTTGAATTCATATCAACTATATAATAACAGTACTCAGTAATAGTGCTTAGTACAATTTTGTCATTTATAATTTAACTAAACATGAATTATAGCAGCTATAATAAATTCATCATAAAAATTAATATGGATGACAAATATAATGTTTCATATTAACATGTTAATAGCAATGCCACCAGTATAGGTGGCGCTGCGCGCACAATTTTGTAAATACAAGGAATTTCTACCCCGATGCATATCATGTTATATTACGCATCTTGACACCTTCCCTGCCTTCTCCGATGTTTTGATTGGTGGATATTCTGAAAGTTATGACCTTGAACTAAGTGTATAACAACATTTTACCGGGAAAATCTCATGAGGCATTGTCAACTACCTTTCTCAGCTTTAACGATCCATTACGCGAAAAAGGGGGTGATATATTTCATAAGTTTATTGTATAAACTACAGATATCAAATGATTTCATTCAAGTATGTCTACGTAATATACTTTAAAACATTCGATAATCTCATGTACCCTTAACCGGAAGTTGGGTGAGAGGAAATTCGTTTGTAAATCTTTGTGTCAAAATTAGACTCTTTAATAAAGTTTAAAGTCTCAAACAATGTGTAGAAAGTATTGCAGTGTATATTTTGCTGTATTACACATATTTCATCAAATTTTTAATATTATCTGTGAGAAAAATCACGACTGTCAGAGCTAGGAAAGACCGTCAGAATACAATAAACACTATGCAAATAATAAGGCTATCTATGAAAATAATCTTTTTGAAAACTTTAAAAGTAAGTTGATCATCCAAAAATTCTCAAACATAATTCCTAGATACGAGTGATGTGAGTATGTGCACATTGTCATAAGTATGTATTCGTTTATGTATGTATGTATTTATAAAAAATAAATAATGTACAAGAATTTTTATACCAAAAATTATGAAATGCTTTAAAAGATGACACTTAGTGACTTACTAGCTGAAAGGATATTTTTTCTGTAAGTTTTCATAAAAAAAAATCTGTTCAGGATTTTTTGAAACCATTGGTTTTTTGAAACATAGCGGATACAGTTTTCTTAATGTTTGTTCTTTCTGAGTGGTTGTATTTGATAATTTTGTTTCAATGTTCAGCGTAGATTCATTTAAATAACAACACCATTTTTTTTAAGAAATAACTTGGAATAGCTCAGTAATCTCATTTGATGTATGAATAGGGATTGTTAGCCATAAGCTAGTTTTTAACTTGGAGAAAAAGCTTAATATAATTTCAAATTTTCGTATGTTGATTTTCAACGTTGTTTCAGCTTTGGAGTTCTGGGATGTTGTTTTTGGCTAATAAACATTTGTTTCTGTTCCTTGTTATTCAAATATTAAGTAAGTGTAACATAAATAGCTTTAAAAATATTCTCCATTTTATTACCTTTCAATTGAGAAGGGAAAAAACCCCTATAAATCAACTCATACACATAATGTAATTAATACAACTCATTGGACTTATCTATGTCATGCTCATAAGACATATGTAAAATTTAAATAAGATTTCATGGACATAAAGGCACATTCTATACATTGATCATGAAATATAACACAAAACTTATTATTACTGTGAAATAGTAGCTGAAATTTTAAATATGATTTTAAGCTAAAATTTGGTTTCTTTTTGTTTTACACTTTATTGAAATTGTCGTATTTATCATGGTACTGACTGTCCCATAATTGATGAGTATGTAATTTTTATATTTTTGTTTTTGTTTTAATTATTAGTAGAGACATATATCTATCACCTAGAAGTCATAAAATGTAGAAATATGAATTTTTTTGTAGTCAACTTGAGTGGGGTTGCGTTTTGCTGGTTTTTGTATTTTATCTGTTTTTCATATCTCACAGGGGTGCCGTTCTAAAACGTCTGTCATTTCGTTAGAAATTGTTGTATCAAGTTAATTTTTTTTCTGTTTTAACTTTTGAATAGGCTATAAAAAGCACTCCCAAAAAATGAAAAATTTTCATTTTAAAATTTTTGTTTGGCATTGCTAATGTTAACACAAAAATAAATATGAATATTTTGTCTTATTTTCGGCAATTAGGGCCACTGAGCAAGGAGGGGTCTTTTCCGTGCCAGCACCTACTGCGACAAGAGACCTCGATTTATACGGTCTCATTCAAAAGACCTGTCTCCACGTCCCACAGTGGGATTTAAATCCGCGACGAAAGAATCAACTCGCTATTCTAATGCAGACCTTCTAACCAATGCGCCATAAGGGCGTTTTGACAGGCAGACTGTAATAATCAGATAGGTATGATGATATACAGATGTTTTTGAAAGAGGTTCGAACAGTTTTTTAGCTACATTTAGGTGCATCATTTCTTTTCAACGCCGAAATACTAGTAATTACCTCGGTAACTTTGATACAGTAATTCATTTTGTAAATCCTTTTTTTTAATACCAGTGTGATTTATAATTATAGGAAGCTTATACAGTAATGTAAATAAATCATCATGTGATAAAATGGGCAAACATGTTTGTTTTATTTAACATTTTAAAGATTCTTTTTATTTAGACAAATTAGGCAAAATGAATTTAAAAAATACGAACTACGAAACATGCTGGCAAGAATATGTTAATACTATCACATTTATAACCTTTTATTTGCTGTAAGATCAGTTGGTATCAAGAATTAATAAGTGCGCAAACATGTAGAATTGAGGCAAAGCACATGATTATTATCAAGA